ATGGCCGCTGCAAGGGAGGAAAAGGGAAAAGGCAAGAGGGATGGAGGCAGAGGGAGGAGCAGGGGGAGAAGGAGGCAAAGAGGGTCCCACGTGTCAAACATGGACGGGAGTCGAGTCTCTGTGCAAAGCCAAGTCCTGGGAGAGGCGCGCTGCCGGGCAGGGCTAGAAAACCACGGACTGCAGGAGACGGAAACACATCATCAGGTCCAAGGGGATGGGGGGTTTCAGGAGGTTCCCGTCCAGCCGCAGGTACCGGAGCCGGGGCACGCCGTCCAGGTTGGAGGGGGAGAAGTCATGGATAGACATCAGCGAGGTGGGGCAGATCTGCGTCCCATTGATTTCTGCAGGGAGGAGCGGAAAAGCGGGACGTGGGTTAGAGGAAAAGGGAGACAGAGGGGGCTGCTAGAGACCCCCTCTCCCTCCTTGCCTGTTGAACCCCAAAATGGGGTTGCTTTTCTTCTGAGAGGGAGAATCCCCAGCCTCTCCCAGTAGGCGGCACAGCCCCAGCGAGAGGAAAGTGAAGTAGGTCACATTCAGCCAAAGCACGGGGAGGGATGTGGTGTCATTTGAGAGAGAAAAGGGATTATTTCAAACATGAAACCTGCCGAGCCAGCCCTAAGCCTTCAAAAAAACATCAAGGAAACATGCTCCAGCACTGTTACGCTAAAGATAACGTCAATAACCGGCTCGTTGCTCGCTTCTGGATTTCCATGTGTTTCTCCCCACCCCAGGGCCTTATGTTGCTACCCCAGGGATGCTTATGTTGCTACCCAACTCTGGGGACTGAAACCTTATAAAAGGTGGATAAACTAGGCAAAAAAAGAGCTGGGACATGATGTGCATGGCCATGGGGGCATCTCTCCTTGGAAAGCCCTAGCAGGACCTGGGTACTGAAGGCAGCGGTGGTCACCACCTTTGTCCCGAGGTCCCCCTTGGCTCCAGTTTGGTGATGCTTACATAAAATGGAGATTAACCAGCGTTTGAACCAGATGTTCATCACCGCATCATTATTCCCTGGGAACCGACCCCGGTGGCCCCCTGGGAGAAGGGACGTGGCTTTGCGAGGAGGTTTTGTAGCACATCCCATAATGCTATTAGTGCTTGCTTTCCCTGTTTGCCCCTTCCCAGCTCCTGTTCAGAGCCTGTTTGGGCAGGAGCAGCCCCCCTGAAGCTACCCTGTGATTTTACAACTGGACAACTCTTCCATCTAGAGCCACGCACCATCGCTGCGCAACGAATGCTGCAGCCTGGAAGTGCCGGTGTCACACCTCTCGTGGGGAGTTTGGTGGCTGCTTCACAGGCCAGTAACACCCCAGGTGGGTCCTGCAGCCCCCCCAAACCCCACCACAGCCAGAAATAGAAGAGCCCAGCACGTTTTTCCCAGGGCACACGGAGGGTTTCTGGCAGGGGCGTCGCATTCTTGCTCACCAGAGGATTACAAGGACAGCAGGTTGCTGGACCTAAAATACTAGAAACATCTGGGTTTACCAGAAAAGGGGCTGTCTTCTCCTCGAATGCGCTAGCTATGTTTACACATTTCACAGGCCAGCATCTCTCCCATGAAATTGCAGTGGAATTTGCCTGGAATGGTGTGAAGCTGCCCCAGTCGCTTTGCCAAGGCAACCTCCATCACAGCCTTGTTCTCCCTGTTCCTTCCTCCGTGAGGCTCAGCTCGAGAGCTAAGCTGGGTTATTTCTAACCATCTTGACTGCATATTTGGCATCGTGTTCTTAAAATATGCGTAGAGATTCTCCTTTTTAAACATCCCTATTTCGGAGCCCTGCTGGGGAAGGAGCTGTTTAGATGGCAGGTGGCCCCAAAGGAGAGCTGCCCATGACAATGAGCGAGAAAAGCCCTTCAGCAACAGGAGGAATTTAGCTCTGCTCTTCAGCCATCACCCAAATCCTCAGGCCATCCTTCCCCACATGCAAACCCATCTTCCTTAGGGTCTTGTTCACCTACAAAGCCCTCCCAGCTCATCCCACCACTGCATCTCCCTTCAAAGGGTTCACATCTGGGTGAAGAATGACCTTGTTTGCCATCCTCAAGCCCATCTGCTCCCCCACAGACCTCCCCACGACCTCCCCACCAGCCGGTGCGACTCACTTTCGATGGAGTTGTTGTTCAGGTAGAGGTGCTCCAGCTTGGGGCTGATGAAAGGGACATTGGTAAGCTTGTTGTGGGCCAGGTGCAACACCAGCAAGTTGGTGAGGTTGAAGGAGTTCTTGGGGAGCCCCTTGTCAGAGATCTGGTTGTAGTTAAGCCGGATGAATGCCAGGTTGGGGAACTCCTTGAAGTAATCACTGGGGATGTCCTCAATGTTGTTCCTGTCCAGGAAGAGCTGGTGGATAGCACTGGGCACCCCGGGAGGCATTTTCCTCAGGATGTTGTGGGCAAGGTTGAGTTGCATGAGGTTCTTGAGTCCCTTGAAGGTGTTTTTGTTGAAGACCCCATCGCTTAGCTTGTTGTGGTGCAGATCCAAGAGCACCAGGTTCTCCAGCTTGTTGAAGACCCCAGCAGGGATCTTGGAGATCTGGTTCCTGCTCAGACGCAGCTGTTCCAGGTTGGGCGGCAGGAAGGCGGGCACCTCCTTGAGCTGGTTCTTCTCCATGTAGAGGAAGATGAGGTTTTCCAGCTTCTCCAGGCCCCGCCTGTCCACCTTCCGGATGCGATTGTTGTCTAGGTTGACCCATTTCAGCCCCGTGGCGTTCCTGAAGGACTCCTCCGGGAGGTCGGCGATGAAGTTGTTCTGGAGGTAGAGGTAGTGGATGCGGGACGGGATGATGGGGACCTTCCGCAGGTTGCGGCTGTCACAGTAGAGGGCAGAGGGGAAGTCTGGGGGGCAGTAGCATTCTCGGGGGCAGTCGGGGAAGATGGAGGGCGGACCCGGCGGCAGAGGGGGAGGCAGCTCCGTGGGCTCGACGGGCTCAATGAACGCGGGAGGCGGGCGGGTGGGTTTCCGGGGAGGTTTCCTCCGCTGCCCGCTCACCTCCGAGATCAGCACAAGGACAAGTGGGAGAAGCAATCTGAAGGCCACCTTCATGGTCCAGATGTTTCCCTGAGGGAGGAACCAAGAAGAGGTGGGTTAGGAAGTGCCCAATTTAGGTACCGCATCATCTCCCATCACTCCCAGGCAGGAACTGACCCCACATCCCTGCCAGGAACTTGCCATTTTCTCTCCTTCGCCTTGGAATTAAACCCAACCCCTCTCTAGAGCATGACCCACTGAGTTCCCTCTCTCTGGCTCAGATTTATGCCATGGCAAGGTGGATTTTCTTTTTCGTTTGATTTGGGTTTGTTTCTCATGCCACACCCAGCACTGCCCTGTTGAGCCTGGTCCTCTGGAACACCACCACCACCGTGCCCTCCCTCCAAAGGATGGATTGCCCCTTCAGAGACTTTGATGGATTGGGCTTAATTTTGCACTTGGGCCAAAAAAAAAATAAAATAAAATCAATGATTCAGTAGCAAATTGGCTGAGCAACAGCATCGGGAAGCCAGCGGCAGTTAGCGAGGCAGCAAAGATGGATGGCCCTGTGCTTCAGGGACGAAGCTTTAACGCAGGACAGCCCATTTTCAAGGCCGCGTGATAAAAAGGGGATTTGCAAGATTACTGATGGGCAACGCCAAAGATTTCTGGCTATGCAGCTCCCTGTGCTGCTCAACCACCAGTCCTGCTGCAGGGCACTGGGCTGGTTCATTGGGGAGAGTCCCAGTAGAAGTGGGAGGTCTGGAGGGATCAGATGAGGTCTCTGCTTGCCCCTAGCCAGTTTCTCCTGGACACCAGCCCAACACCTTACACATACCACCTCTCCCTTTCCTCTGAGTCGTTACCAAAGCCGTGAAGGCCACCTGCCTCATCCCTGCCGTCCCTGCTGCTGCCTGGAACAGCAGCCATCGTCCTTGCAAGACTGCTGCTGGTAGCTCTCCAGCCGATGCCTTGGAGGATGGAGGGATCCAGCTGGTTGCAGATGAGCTCCCCAGAATACCCGGTGCAGAAGGTGCTTTGGATGCTCCCACACTCCCCAGGGCCACCTGGAGCAGACCAGGCTGTGGGCTCCTCGGGGTGTTTGCCAGGCTTTTCCCGGCGGCATTTGCCACCCCAGCGGGAGCAGAGCCGAGCTGGCTGCAGGCGAGGCAGATGGAGGAGCTCGGCAGAGGCAGGGCGGGAAAGAGAACCAAGCAAGATGAGACGGGGAGGAAGATGGATCTCCTGGGGAAACAGAGCATCTGCTGTGGGAGCCAGCCCTCAGCCCACCAGCAGGCAGCACAGACCAGCAGTGCTGGGGTAGCTCCCTGCCCCTTTTTGCTTACTGCATCCCACCCAGGGGTGCCCTCAGGGCCACTCCATGGGCCACTCCTCCCAGGACTGTGCCAGCCCGGCTCCCTTTGAAGCGATCCCACGCATTCCTGGGGCTCCAAATAAATGACTTTCACCAGGAAAAGATCCTGTTCTCAACCTCCCCTCCAGACCCAGCCTGTTACTTTCCTTTTTGTCCCACTCTGCTCCCATCTGGCTCTGTTTAACCCTACAAGCCTCACATGCCTGCTGTTTTCAATCAGACCTCTGGCATCTCGCTGGGGGAAGAGAGGAACAGGGGGAGAGCAGTGGGGCCTGAGCACTGCCAGATATTCAGCTCGGCAGTGCTGCAATAAGTCCCCTTCGGGGATGTACGTGCACGCTTCTGTGTTGTAAAAATTTGGATTCAACAGCGAGCTGCAGAGAACAGGCAAATTCGTGACAGGGAGCTGCTCTACGTGCAGTCTCCTCCCTGGCCCCGCAGCACCTTGCTCCTTTCCCAGCCGCACTTGGCTCTATCCCCCTCACCTTGTCTCAGACCTTTCCAGGAGATTTTGCCTCTGCTCCAAAACTCAGATCTGGATTTTAACACCCGCAATGCCCAGGGGAGCCACGTCTGGCCCATTGCAGATGGGAGGAGGCAGCTGGGACACAATATTCCAGCCAGTATGATCCGTGTGCTTGACTCCCTGCACTCACAGGGCGATGCTTGGGCCACCCAGGAGCCACCCCAGGCAATGTCACAAAGAGGATGGGGGACAGGGCAGAGCTGTCACCTCGTTGGTCTCAAGAGCTGGCTGAGCTCTGCACCCTTCCAGGAATAACCTGGCCCCACATAGACTGAGCCATGCCTTCTGCATGAGGCTTTAACACTGCAGATGTTTAGGGGCAGAGCAGAACTAGTCAGCGAGCCAGAAATTCAGGCTGGAGAGCTGCAGCGTCATGTGGCATTTGTCAGAACAGAAGGAAAGAGTCAGGAGGCAGATGCAGCCCCTTTTATCTGCTGAACTGCCTGTCACCCGCTGCCACGTCCCCATGGGGATTGCCACAGCCCCTCTGCCCACTGCACTGCAACA